CCTGATGTACCAAGTACCAACTTGATGTACTTTCAGTAGTCTGTGCAGCCAGGCGACGTTCAGGCAGTTACAGAACAAACTGAAACCAGGTGTTTTAAGGCAAATATTAGATCTTCCACTGAGAACCTCAAGTTCAGTTCTAACAGACTAACAATCATTTCAATTGAAAACAAAAATTAATGTAATTCGTCTTAGCAGCGAACAGTAGTTTTTTAGAACAAGCTGCAGTCCCCTCCTTCCCACCCACAACAGGAATCAATGGATGCAGCCAGAGTCCTGTGAGTATGAGCCCATAGCAGTATCATTGACAGCAGATAAAAATAATGTCCACCGTCTTCACTATCTAATAGCACATGAAGCTAAAAAAGTCTCCTTTTTTCTGTTTACCTCTGCTTACAAGGTGCAAGGTAATAGTTTTATTCTCTATAGATCAGGTACCTACATGAGTCGGCATCTAATCTGAGCCCCATCTGATGTAAGGCCATCCCCACCCTGAGGAAGGATTAGCTCCAATGAAATTGAGGAGAGACATTAAAAGAAGGCCACATCATGCCTTCCAACCCGCAATGCTTCCTGCATTCCATCAGTGCGATTACCTCTAAGCTATCATCCCGTCTACAAGCAGTATTCAAAGGCTACAGATAAAATCATTAATCACAAAGCAGGCTGTTTCAAGGCAAGACTTGCTACACAGACTCCATTTTCCCAAAGTCTCTGCACACACCAAGAAAGCTACTATTGTATTAAAGGACCAGTCCAAACAAGAAATGCCAATTTTAAAGAGTTTCCCCATGTTTCTCAAGCTGAGCTACCATTTTTGATGCTTGCTGACATCCACAGAAGTACCATGCAGGAGACAGGGAGCTAAGGACTAACAAACAAACCTCAAATTATCAGTTCACCTGGGAAACTTGCAACTGTGATATCAAAAGTTTTCCCTACTTCACACCCAAAACCACATCACCTCTTTGGCAGTGAACAACCACTGATTTCACATCCATCAGACTGGAGCACCCAAGCTGCATCCACGCCAGAAGCACCACAGCCACCCATATGGCACTGATGGTGAATGCTGTCTTCTGCAGTTGTAACTACAGGCCATTACCTTTCACTTAGAATACATTTAAAAATAAATAAATGCATAAAGTACCAAATGATTTAGTGAAATGTTCTCCAGACAAACCCTAATATCTCAACTTCAAGAAACAAAACTAATTGGAGGAAAAAGAATATTTTCATTTATAAAGCTCTGTATTTTAAAATGGCACTTGAGTGATGGGCAATTACACATTAAGCAATTTCTATTACGTAGTAACAGATACAGCAGGAAGGATTAAAAAAAAAACCCAAGCCTAAATACTCCAAGAAATAAAATTAGTGTGCAACGCTTGTATGATCAATGTAAACGTAACCACAAACATTTGCATAAGAATAGTGCAGTAAATAACCACCCCACAGCTGAGACACTTACAGACACATTAGTGAATACAGTTTCATTTCTTGCTGAGAGGATGGCAATTTATTAAACCACCCAAACAAAGCATGTTGCAATCACCAGTCGTGCTTTAATTAGGCAAGAAGGATCCTTCTGAATGCAAAACAGAGGACTAGGTGAACCAGCAAGTCCTTTCCAGGAGCTGTGATTCACCGTATTTCAGACTACTCACTGTATAGAAGTTTAAGTCTTTTGATGACCAGGTGGACATGGACTGAAAGAGAAGTCTGCAGGCCAAGACAAGCCAGCACATCACACCCAGCTCCACACAGCCCCGCACCTAACAGCAGTGACAGTGCACCAGCTGGAATAGCTATGCATTTTGGAGTGGTGCCACCCATTTCGTTGTTGCATTTATCTATTGCCAGCTGAGCTATGGGCCAGATTTCCCATACAAAAATGCTTTTTGGTTTTTTCTTCAGAAAAGGGAGATGTCTGCTACTCCGTACAAGAGGGGAGATAGGATATGCCACATTTCATCCTGCAGCCCAAAGCCATCATACCAATGAAGACATTTCTCTGCTCAGTTTCTCAAGAAATATAACCCCTATGGAGGAAGGTTGCTCAATGGTATGGATGAGGTGCTTTGTTTTTCTGCTTCAAAGACTAGGAGAGTAAAGGGTGGGGAATGTTATTAAGGGAAGGGGAGTACATTATTAAAGGAAGGGGTGCCTGGAAGGCAAACTGAAAACTGGCCTGAAGTCATCTCACCCAAACGTTCATATTCCCAGATAAACACGGTGAGCGTGATCCTGGCAGAAATACCTGCAAGGAGGGCTCAAAAGCTGGAAACTGGCACTGCAGATCTGGGATATGGATGACCATGAGATAGACAGTCATCACTCATGAAACATTCAGGTCCTTCAAATCCAGGTATGCTGGGAAAACAGGTAAGTGCATAAAACCGGGATTAATATTTTAACGACAAACAGCTGGCTAACGCTTAATGTTTAATACCTGTTCCATTTGTTACCTGACATCCTTCATGATGGGAACTCTGTTCAGATGAGACAGGGACTTTAGTCTTTAACATGAGGTCAGTTGTCATCAGAGCTCCTGCCAGCCCTGATTAAAGCTGATGTGCTGACAGCAAGGCAGTACAACAAGCAGAGGTGGCTGCCACAGATCCACTCCATACACCTCCACTAGTGCAAGGGGACACCATGGAGCTGCTATGGCTGCTCTGGCTGCACCATTTGCATCAGAGCATCAGGGTTGTATTAAGTGAACAAAGTCTTTGTTTGGGGTTTGTGTTTTGGTACAGACTTTGTACAGAGGCTCTCTCAAAACCCGTACCATTTTGGAGTCTCTTTTTGATCTTTGATTGCATTGAAAGATACATAAATACCCCAACAAATCCTGGTCATCCAAGTATCAGCACAACCAGTAAAATACACAGCTCAGTATTAAAGCTAGACTTTCCCTAGACTGCTGGACAACTGCTTTTGTTCTGGGAGCAGAGTAGCGGCAGTGTGTTAACCCCTTCCATTGGTCAGATCACCATTATTGTTTTATATAACTGCCATATCTGCACACAGCTGGATACATGGAAAAACCTTGCTCCAGTAGGGAACAGGCTATCTTTTACCAATCTGGGAAGACTAGAGCACAGCTAAACTTAACAGACAACATGCAGTGGGATGGTGGCACCGGTAATACAGTATCTAGTGAAGTCCAAAGCTAGGCTGCTTTTGTGCAGATGTGTAACAGCCAGGAGACAACAGCAGGATGTTATCTACGGAAGGCAGCAGTGAACAGAGTGGGTCTGGAATCTGTTTTAATAGATCCTACCTCTATCAAACTTCTGTGCAAAACCTGTTTGTCCGAGACTTTGCAAAGAGCGAAGCGAGCATCAAAGCTCTCCTTCGTTTTGTAGGTCAGGAAGGCTTTGGGGTTGGCACAGTGTCAACTCATATGTATTCTGCAAAGTGCACTTTAATTTTTCATTATAACAGTACCTACAGACTTTGATTGAAATAAATAATGAACTAATTCGTATCATGAATCTAAGAATCACTTTCTTCCGGTCCCCATCAGAGAGAGGATTTTCTTCCCAGTGACAAGTGTTAACGCATTTCTGCCCTAGTTTCCCACAGTGGATGTCACTATTGAAGTGTCAGGAAGGAAGGTTAGAGCTGCTTTTTCAGTCTGCTCCCATCAGCCTCAGCAGTCCGTCTTGGATGAAAACATCCTGGCAGAACACAGGCTGAAAGAAGGCTGGATTTTAAACAGCACAGCAAAAGTCTTTGTGTTGTATATGATTAAAATGTAACACTGAATAGGTCTTTTTCTCAGTCTGAGTCAGGGAGGATGGCTCCACTATGTAAAATTACAGGGTTTTTTTGCAGAATGGCAGAAGTTTCACAAGTCTTTAATGTAGTCAGAGACCATTTTCTACGCTCTTCTCATTTTTCAATGCTGTTGTTTCTGATACTTCACCCAGCACAAATCCTGATAGGTACCACTCCATTTCTGAGAGCTGACAGAGGACAGCCAGCCATTCACCATGGTGGGACCCCAAAGTGGTACCTACCCTCACTTCTTACAAAGCAAAAATGGCCAAGACCTAAACCCAGTGGGATTCAGACGCTCTGTTTGATTTGACCCATTCCAACTGTGTCAATCATGATAACTTTAATAAGCACAGTTACTTGCAGAAGAACAAGAAAATCAATTATCAAAAGCTCCTTTACTGTAATTTCAAAGTTTTGCCAAATTAGTTTAATACAATTTCATTTCAAGAGGAATTTGTATTACGTGCACACAATAAATGCTGTAACTCACCCAGGTACTAATCCCCGTTGCAAACTGTGTAACACTGCAGAGAAAGTGGATAAAATGCTGCCCAAATCAAATGGTAATGAAATTAAAGCACAATTGGCATGGCTTACCACAATGCTTTAGCAGCATCTTTGGAAGATGGCACTGAAGAGGAGCCATTGCAATTAGGCAGGTATAATAGGAGAAGTGTTAGATTGCAGAATTAGAGCTGCTCCCAACTCCCTTGCAAAGCTTTACAATGTCAAAACAAGGCAGCAGTATCAGCGCGTTGATACTAGATTAGAAGCCCTTTTTAAACGGAAAAGGGTAATTATTTTCTTCTGCAAAATAACTAGAAATTAATTTTATTCACCCAAACTGCATCCGTCACTGCTGGAAGCTGCTGCTGAAGGACCACAAGCTCTGCCCTGGATGACACCACATTGCATGCAAATCTCTGGCTGAGTACAGTGGTGGCTTCACAAGACATAATGTCTTGTGACACAGAGAAGGTCAGATTGGACTATCTGACTGTCAAGATAAATTTATTGATTTAGTGAAATATATTAATAACACCATTTTAATTAAGACAACATGATACAAAGAGCAATACCACTTAGTCCATTGCAGAACTGAGTTAAAATACAGTATTCCTGTAATCACTTTTGTACATGATCTAGTTAAAATTAGCCAGGAGAGCTGTTACTGTAATGCATGGGAATACAAGTAGAAAGCTGCGACTCACCAAAGCGAAGTCACTGCACTCCATTATAACCTCAGCAGAGCCAGACACACCAGTTGGAAATAACAAAAGAGGGAACGCTTAAGGATCATATATAGCACAGCTCACAGACCTTGGGGAACAAAATGCATTTCATTACAATGGCATTGTTTCGACAGAAACAAAACCCAAATTACTCATTTGCTGATGTTGGTTTTACTCCATCAGCAATTGGGTACGTCTGCGTCAGTGCTGGACACACGGTATAAGGCAGTGCCAGGCTTTCCCCAGCTCTACACAAGAGCCAGCTGTCACATGGACAAGGGGATCAAATTCAGCAAAATAATCTTTTTGACTCTTTCTCTGCATACATTAATCTGCGTGCTTATTCCTGTTTACATTATGAGATGTATGCCATAAAAGAGCTTACAGGATGTGTATTGCAGCCAAGTTAATATTGCTGTTGGAGTCTCAGCCTCTATTTCCTGACTTAGCATTGCCCAGTTACAACTCTTTTTAATTCTTCATTTGTCCGATTGAGTTTATTAGTGGTTTGAACCCGTTTAAGGTAAGAATGCTACACAGAGCAGCTATTAACACCTGCAGGAAACCCAGGAAAAGAACAAGCCCTGTGCTGAAGACAGTAACAACATTCAGAAATATTTAGTATAGAAATGTGTACAAATACAGCAAAGAAAGGTACTTTTAGTAACAACATTCAGAAACAATTTAGAAATGCACCTACACTGTAAGGCATTTTCATATATCATTCAGGTAAAATCCACAGCTTTTCATATAGGGCAACTTAATGGACTTTTCAAGAGACAAAGCGTACTGTTTGAACTATTGCTACAACAGCAACAAAACTAGTTGTTTTTTTCACAGATGTCATGACTGGATTTTAAAGACAGGAAGTGCAGAAGGGTTATTTAAGTTGGACAAAACATTTCACAAAGCTTGTGCAGATGAGCTAAGGCAGGTGGACTCTACATTAAAGCCTCTTCCTCCGAATGCACGCTGTGTTCTCCTGGACCCAGCTGGGCTCCTGCCCAGAGCCATTTCTTTATTTCATAAAGCTACTGAAAAGCTAGCAAGATACTCATGGCAATACCATAGAGACATGCAAACCTATTAAATCTGGCCCTTATGAAACACAGGTTTGATGTCCCCGCCATTGCCAAATGATCCCTGCAGTAAATCCCTGCAACCCAAGAAGGCTGCAGCTCTCTGCATTCCTAGGAAAGCCTTTGCAATGCCACCTGTACTTTGACCTTCTCTCCCTATTTTGTCTTAATTGAAGGAACCAGAGCCTTCATTTCTGCTCTCGGGCTCCTGAGCATCCCTGGCTGGACTCAGGCCTGCTTATGCCCCTGGCAGAGCTGATGGTGCTGCCTTTGCCAGCTCACGAGCTGGTAAACCAGACTAAACATCTACTCACGTCAAGTGTTGGACTAACAAACCCCTGTTAAAACTGTGAATGGAGCATAAAGAAGTCCTCATGCCATAACAATGGAAAGACTTTTAGCTCTTCTTTAAAATAAAAAGAAAAAAAAACCCTCACATCCCACTTTTCTAAAATGTTCATGAGTTTTATAAAAGTAAAAAAGAAAAAAAAAAAAAAGGTTTCCTCCAGGCTAAGCACTGAATAATTTTAAAGAAAAAAGACTTCAAAGACATGTTTTTACATTCTATTTGCATTCAGGCATTTTGTTTTTCAGAAAACTATTACCTCAGTAATATTGCAGGCTATTTTCCACACATTGTGAGCAGCTTTGGCTACCCAGAAGATAATTTGTCCAGTGCAAGACCCATGCAAGACAGGGAGAAGCCACTCCACAAATGGCAAAGTTTGTGAATCATGTTGAGGAACTACAGCAATATTTGCAAGGACGTGCACCCTGGACATGAAAAGTGAGGGTGGCAGAGGGCATACACATATAGCATTTTGCTTTAAAATGAAGGCAGAGGGACCTAGACCAAAGTCGTCAAGTGCTTTGACAAGATCTACTCGGCCATTCCTGTTGCCCCTTTGCCAGGAGCAAAATGAAGCCCAAGCCCTTATGGCTCCATTAAAAAGAAAAGGCTAATGCAGGGGTGCTGGGGATGATCCTTGAACCCATTGCCACTGCACTGGCCAGAGCACACCAACCCCTTGCGTCAGTCCTTCACGAACAGCCCCCAGGGATGAGGGTGGCTCAGGCATGTCTCCTCTCACACAGCCGCACTCTCTCTAGACAGCAGCAGAGGAGATTTGACAGCTCACTGAGAGGAATTCATGAGCACTGTTGTTCATTAAAAGGCTACAGAGGGAGAGCACTGAGGTTAGTGGGATGGGCTATATTAAAGCCCATTTATAGCTTTATGGCCCTTCAAAGGGGCATCAGACCTTTCTGCAGCCAAATGTAATGGTCAGATAGTTACAAACTGAGACAGACTTAAGAGAGTACCCCAGGCTACCCGGAGAAGAGGCTGCACGGTTAACTTCAGAGTTTCAGGTCAGCTCTTGATGTTTTCCTCTTACGCATCTCATCCACAACCGCTTCCAGGCTTACAACACTGCATATATCACAGCCCGCTTTGTGCGGACAAGAGTATTTAATGACACTGAGAACTACCTTGTGATGATTAGGGCGAAAAAAACCCAGCCAGATGTTTCATGCTGTCTGATTTTATTAAACTGCTGTGTGCAGGGAAGGGGGGTGGTTGCTGTTTTTCTGTGACTGCTACCCCTCTTCCTCATATCCCCTGGCCCTCCTGCACTACAAGACAGTAACACGCACTGTCACGACATGACCTAATCCAGGGAGATAGCACGAACTGTCACAGCAGGCAACGGGGCTGCCCCTTGCCCTCCAGACAGACACACTAGGGTCAGCAGAGCAACGAGAGGGCAGAGCAAGCACCAGGGAAATTAAACCCCACCGACGCTGGGAAATGGACCCTACTGTCACCTGCCCCACTGACCTACAAAGGGATGCACCCCTCTGGCCCCAGGGCATGGAGTCCTGCTGGTCCCTGGGGAATACACCTCACCAACCCGCTGCGAATGGAGCCGCCAGGATTGATGTGGTACACATCCCACCGACCCCCTGCAGGGGGGATGCCGCCCTCTGGTCCGCTGGGGATGGATCTCTAAGGCTGATGGGGGAGGCACCCCACTGACACCTAGGGCGGAGGAAAGCGTAGCACTCCACCAACCCCCTCGGGGGAAGACGAAGCGCCTCAGCCCCACGGTGGGGAGATGCGCCCCTCCGACCCCAGGAGATGGAGCCCCCAGGGTAATGTGGAAAGCACCCACCGACCCCCGGGAGCCGAAGTCTCGCTAGCACGGGGCGCGGGCTGCACCTCACCGGCCGCCGGGGGATGCAGCTCCCCGGTGCCGGTCGCGGGGGGGATGACTCCCAGCGACCGCCGGGGAACGGAGCTCCCCTGCCCGCTGCGGCAACGCGGATGGATGGGCACGACCCAGCCCAGCCCTTTCGCCGCCCGCCCCAGCCCCGCGCTGCCGCCGCGCCCCGCACTCACCTCGGCCGCACGGGGGGACCCGGCGCCCCGACACCTGCCCGGCGACCCCGGGGCAGGGCGGCCCCGGCCCGGCGCCGCTCCCTCGCCTCCTGCCGCGCCGCCGCGCTGCCCGCCTGTCCCGGCACGGCACGGCCCGGCCCCGGGAGCGGCGGGGGCGGCCCCGATGGAGCGGGCGGCGCGGGGATCCCGAGAGGGGCGGCCCGACGGGGCGGGCTGCGCGGCGGCCCCTTCTCGGGGCGGTGCCCGGGCGGGTTCCACGACCCTCCCCGGGACCCGGCCGGCAGCCCTCGGGAGGCAGCGGTAGAGCCTGGTCGCACCCCGGGCTGCGGGCGAGGCGAGGGGGCCGGGGCGGGGGTCGGCTGGAGCTGGAAGAGTTGTTTGGAAACTCCGGCCCCCGAGGGGCAGGCGTTGCTCCGTACAGGTTTTTAATATTTTCGGGCACGTCAGGATCTTTTTTAAGTCCTCTAAATGCTTTCCTTGTATCGCTTTTATCTTCTGTTCTCGCTCAGCAGGCAGTGCTGGTTTCAAAGCGGATTTAAACGAACAGTGAATTACCCTTTTTCTTCTTTTAAGATCTAAAAGAATCTTTTTTTAATTTAAAAAAGTTGGGGGTTTTTTTGTTTTTTGTTTTTTTTTTTTTTTTTTACTGGAAACTCAAGGTTATTAAAATGAGAGCACATCCTAAAATGTTTGGTTGGTTTTTCAGGTTCACTTTTCCTAGGCTCTGCGAAAGGAAATGGTCAGCAGCTCTGTTTTCTTTCAAGCCAGAGCCCCTTCCTGACTCATGCTCCTGCTCAAAGCTCAGGGAGTGCGTTTCCAGTACTGCTGTTCTAAAATTAAATCTGGAGAAAAAAAAAAGAGAGAATTCAGATCAGCTGAAGTGTCTCTAAAGTATTGTCTTTATTAAAGACTCTGTCAGGTAATCACGTTACAATTTGGCCCAGATGCTCTGCCTATCACTCCTTTGAAGATGATTGCTTATGATGGCAATGTCTGGCCTGATAACTAAATCAGGCGCAGCATTTAAAGCGGAGGGGTGTCTAGAGGCACTTGTTGCAGTGACAAGCAGTGCCTTAGGACTCTAAGGATGCTGTTAGTTGAGCTGAATTGTTCTGCAAATGCAGAATACTTCCATACAAACAAAACAGTACAAACAGTACCGCAGAGCACGCTCTGGACCTCCCTCTGTGCAGAGCAGGGAGGTTTTCAGTAGCATCAGCCAGGCCATAGCTGCTGAACTCTGGGATGAGGCTCAAGAAAATAGGTGTGTGAATTTCAAGCCTGTTCAGTGGTTCCCTGCAGGGCCGGGGTCAATCCACTCAGCATTTAATGAAATCCCAGTGAAAACAGATTGGGGGTGTATAAAGTTCTGCCACCACTGAAGACACCGTGTGGCTAATGCTGCTCTGTGTCAGTATCAGACTAGCTCAGTCTCCATCCGTGACTTTTCCCACCCTGTTTCTATGGACGTGCCTTTGAACAATGTTTTGTTCATTATTTATCTGCATGAGAACAGCCATGCTTGCAAATGATTCCTCTGTGCTGCCAGGTAGCTTGCTGGTTAGGGTGCTGGCTCACAACAGCAAGACGGATGATGGAGCAAAGCAGGAGAAACCCAGAGAATTATTCCCTTTGACTCCAGAGTTCAAAAATGTGATTATTTCCCTGTAGACCATGAAGAATCCCCAGAGGTCATCCAACACCTCAGGATAGCAGCACAGAGTGCTGAGCCCTTATTTCAGAGCATGGCTGTCTCCTGCAATAAAACTGGAAGGAAATAATAGCCAGTGGCCATGCAAACATGATGCATAATTTCAGCATCAGCAGTGTGAGGATCAAAATCACCAATATATACATGCACTACTTTCCAGTTATCAATTGTCTTAATTTTAAATGTCTACAAGTCCATCTGATTTGTATGGCTTGTTGCTAAGACCAGGGAGCAGATTATGCCTGAACCATTTCTCATTCAAATCAGAGCAGTTCTATTCATTTCAGGGGTTACACTAATATAGAAGTGGCATGAAAAGGGACAAAGGGACTTTGCTCTGTCTTTCATATCCACCCACATAACAGTATCACTCAAATCTCTCTAAAGTCATTTCTCCCATTCTCTGCATCAGTTGTAAGATAACAATATAAAGCACTGAAGGTTTGGTGCTCCTGCTGCAGACCGTTTGGCTTCTGGCAGGGTTGTACCATGGAAGCAAAGCTAATGCTCATAAACAATGTCTTTTGCTAAGTACTTTTTTAGGCAGCTCTTGGCATTCATTTTTGTAGTGTAAATCAATTGCTGCTTATATTTTCTGATTTCAGGTCAGAAGTTTGAAAAGACACTGTGCTCTATATGTTTTGGGTTTATTCTGATGATCTTTATAGGAAGGTCAACTTTATCCACAACTGGAACCAGTAATTCTGGAGGCTGCCAGCAGTATTTTACATTCTCTTCTTACTCGTCTGAGAAAGACTGGTTTTCTGCTGCTCTTCCTAAAGAGCCATGCGAGCATCAAAATCCTAATTAAATGTCATCTCATGAGTATCGATCTCCCAACATTTGTTACTCAGGATTTGCAATAGCAGCCTCGCCAGATGTTGGTAGATAACATCAGCAGCGTTCTGTGTTTTTCTTGGACACCAGCGGAGTAGAGATTAAGTATATTCCTTAGTGTTTTCCACACTTCACCTGCCAGAGAGTGCCCAAAATCTCCTTTTATTTTACTTTAGATGAGGGAAGGATGCTGAAACAGTTATCTGGACCTCAGAAGAACCCAGAAGAGGAGCTGGAGCCCAAGAAAAAAGGGAGAAACCAGAAAGCAGAGAGAAAGATCAAATTAAGCCGATGGAGTAATATTCAGCTTTCAGGATTCAAAGGCTGCTTGGATCATATCACCTGGTGTGGCTGCATCAGCAGGACCGAATTTCAGTAGTTATATTTTCAGAAGCCTGGAGTACTTTCAGAGTAGCTACACAGCAGATTTTAGTCACCCTAACAACATTTTATCCAATGCCAGCTTTAGCAATCTGTAGTCTTGTCACATTCTCTGAGTGCAAGCAGGATTTTCTGCTCTGACCTGTGCCACTGTGACAGTGTCCATCTTCTGCTGTGCTCTGGGGATGGCTGGACAATATCCAGAGATCCAGCCAGATCTGCTGAGCCATCACCTGCCCTTGGCTCTCCCTGAAATATTGAGGTGTTAAGGTTTGCATTGTTCTGAGGTTTTTCTTCAGCTGATTTGGTGCTACTTGGCTCAAATTTAGGGCTTGGGGAGAGACTGTCTGGCCGTAGGTAAAGAAGTAAGCACAAATGAAAAGAACATCTTCACACTGAGGTAAGGTGCACGTAATGCTGCCACCACTGACGGTAAAAAGTGGAGCAGTAAGTATATGTGGAGCTGATTAACCTGAATGATGACTTTTCCCCAGCATCTTCCAAAATCCAGGCTGTGATTTAAAAAGCACAGCATGACTCCGCTAGCAAGACTTGTGTTTTCCTCTGTTTATGGAACAAAACTGGGATCCTTCATCTTTACTATTGTTCCTTTATCTTCTTGATATCTCTTCACAGACACACACTCTCCCATGTATATAGCTGGTATAAAGTAGACCAAGGACAAGCCACCACTGACTGTGCTATTATAATTTCCATTCGCAAGGAGACTAAAATGAACTATTCTGTTGATTTCCTTGTCTATGTGGAAAAATTAAGCAGCATGATTACTGTAATAACCTAGAGTTATTGTGGTCCTCAGGTGGGCACAATGCTCCAATTTTATTTGGAAATAATTACTTCAAAAGCAGAGCAATTTTTCCAGGACAGTGTCTTACTCTTAAAGAGTGTATGCGCATGGCTTCCACTGCATCAGCAGTGGCAGTGATTTTCTCTGCGTAAGCAAAGCCCAAGAGAGGGAACACATTACATATGGCTCCTCCATAACATGCTGCAGTAAATATGAGACTAAAAAGGCTGAATAAGAGAAATCTTGTAAGTTGGATGGAGCCGCACACTGAAAATGAACAGTCACGCCAGGCTCAGAGCCAGAGTCACAATTTGGCTCTGCATAGACTTGTGTCATCTCTAACAATTACAGTCTACTTTGTTCCAGCTGTAATTTGGATCACCACATAAAAAGGGAATAACAGCAACAAAATAATTATCCTGATCCTACACTTTTTTTACTGCCTTTTGAAGTTCTACTACATCTTTACAGAAGGCTAATAAGAAGAATAAGCTAATAGCTATGGATCCATCAGCAGGGATTTCTCTCCACTTACGTCTTTCCTCCTTAATTTTCACACACTAACTGCAAGCCTTACTAGGATGTAAATTTTCCCAGATGTGGTTGGTTTTCATCAGAGCACAAAAATGGGCAACCCTTAAAAAGTACTTAGTATTTAAACCAGTGTGAAACAGAAACGCCTAACTGCCTCCACATACAGGGGAGTGAAGGCAGGGAACAAAAATGCCACTATCCACAAGATCTAAACTTTGAAGTGAGAAAATATATGCTTAGATACAGTTATTATAAATTGTTTGTGGATACTACCCATTCAATTATTCACTTGCTGCAGAAATCTAAGATATGTACTTCATGTAAGTACTATAGCAGCACAAAACAGGCCAGTAGTTAAGGGTCAAAGTGTCTCAAACACTCAGCTATAGATCTTCATCGAAACATTCATTTTCCAAGATCCTGAGGGTAAAACCCTCTCTAAGATTATTTGCTATGTTTCTATAGTACAATTCTTTCAAGACTCTCTTCCCTACAATTCCAAGATCAACACTTGTTTTGATTTTAGTAGTATATGATATCAGGGGTCAGACTCATCCATGGATGAACTTGACTGTAGATAGACCATTTGCAGAAAGCAAAGAAACAGATACAAATAGTCTAAGGTTAACCAAAAAACTTAGTCACTAGAGATCATCTTAGAGCTTCTCATCAAGATAAAATTTTTCACTAATTAACAAATTAGTCATCCTCTTTATACTGTGCAGTGTTTATCAAGCCTGCTCTGAGGCTGTGTTGGTTTTACTTTGAAGTAATAAAGTTTGGATTTCTTTGATTTCTATTATTAGGTGACCATATCCTCCTTTTGTTTACAGCAGTGGTCCTGTGTACTTCAGGATTTATTG